ATTTTTACAAATTCAAATACCTTTTAAATATAGAGAGATTATATGTCATTTTCTCTGTATAAAGCTCAAACACTTAAAATGTCTACCTAAAATTTGGAGAGAAGTACAATAACACTCTTCCCCACTTGTTTTTTTTGTTTTTTTTTAGTTTTGTGAGTTATGAGTTTTTGCTATCAGTTGATTAAATCATAATGAGATTTTACTTTTAAAAGAGCAACTAATAAAATGCTGCAGTCTCTAATTAAAAAAAAAAAAAAAAAATCAAATGACAAATTCTGAGCCCAGTTATTCAATAAACAATAGCAGGAAAGATTTGTAACAATGTGTTGTTGCTAAATAATAATTTTTATTTTGTTAAGACTTTCTCAACAACAACAAAAACTCAAAATATGATTGTAAACTACAAAAGTTTTCCAAGTAACAATGATCATTATAATAATGATTATTGTAATAATTATAGCAAATAATTGAGTCAAAAGCAACACCAACAAATTGCGGTACTTTTTTTTTTTTTTTTTTAATCTGGAGACAGGCCGGACTAAAACAAACAAAAGATGGCATTAAGATTGTATTAATCTGTTGCAAAGAGAAACCATCACACATGTGTAAAATAGAAGAGTTGTACAGAATCAGCAAATGCCATCTTAATATTATGCAAGTCTTCCAACAACTTGAGTATGGGAAGCTGCATAAAAAGAGAAAATTACTATCCACAAAAATAAGGAATTGATAATTTTATTTTATCAAAATCAAGTCTTAGCAAAAAAGAACTTCTTCGAGCTAAATAGAGTAAAATGGGTGGTTTTGTAAGAAATTTTCAAATAAGAAATGTAATTATATAATATAAAAAAAGCAGAATTATCTTAATGCATATTATGGTAATTCAGAGTTAAGCTAACTTTGCAATAAAAAAAAATAAAATCTCAAAACACAAAAAAGTAAAAATACTCAAACTATCACAGTGATAAATTTTATCATTTATTTACTCAGAGTAACTTCCATGATATTAGTTATCAATAAATGCCAAGATTTTGCTTTCATTCAGCAGTGTAGTTTTTGAGCATTCAATTGACAAAACATTCTGCTCATCTCCAACAGTCACTAACAGTATTTTGCAAGTGCTGTAAAAATGCTGTTTGATTTTCTTCTTAAAGACCAAAATATTTTAAAAATTTCTTGTGGCCTTTATCATAATTTTTGGCAATGCCATTTGAAAGTTTTGCCATTATTTACATGAAATTATCTTTGAATTTGAAGAAGATCAAAAGATGCAGAAGAGAAGTGGTGAGGTATGAGGCAACCATTGGAACTTAGATTTTCAATTGTTTAAGTGGACAGCAAAACAATTCTTTGTCCAGAATTCTAGTCTTTTACAGGCACTGATATATTAAGGATTTCTTCTTTTCTGTACAACATTTTCTCTTGTTCACTGTAAAAAGATTAACTAATAGTTTTTGTCGAGTCTCATATCATAATGGGATGCTTAGAATGCTTTTTAGGTAGGTTGTTTAAATTCATGAGTAATTTTTCCTTGAATCAAATGACAAAATCATACAACTTACAAGATATTTAAGAGAGAAAAAAAAAATGGATTTTTTATTTTATTTTTTTTTTTGCCTGCCAGTGATTTTGTGGACAGAAGTTAATATTAAAAATGAGGAATATAGAAACCAAAACAAAAAGGAAAAGACAAAAGATTTCTTCTTGCAAAGGAAACAAAGAAAATACAAAATAAAGGCTTTTATTCTTAAAGTGACTTAAATATTTAAAAATGATATAGAAAAAAATTTAAAATTCTAAAGGATGTAAAAAGCATTAAAATATAGGGGTTTATTGTCACTTCCTCTTTTCAAAGAAGCAAATGAAGCAGGAAAAAATATTGGGGCCATTTTCCCATCGTCAAGTCATGAACTGTCATTTTATCTAACAATTTTATATGAGTTTATAAAGCAATTACTCAGTTTTACAATAGCAATGGTGACTTAATAGGACATTTGCAAATCTATTAATCATTCTATTTTGCCCCCAGTTTGCTGGAGTGAGGTAGGTGTTGAAGGGTATACTCAGGAAATCACTATGGGGTTTAGAAATGAGAGGAAAACCCACTGGTATATGGAATTCAAAATACTTATATATAATGTTTAAGCTTGCCATGAATAATGAAATTTCTAGGGAGTTTTGTTTTACTTTTTTTGCCCCTTTTCAAGCTTGTGGAATGAATTGATTACAACATTCACTACTTCTACAAAAAACTATATAGAAGTGAAGCAGAAAGCAAGACCTGTTTTGATTATAATACACAAATTAACTAGAATGAAAAATAATAAGATTTTTAAAATCTGAATCAAGATCATAAAATAGAGAAGAGGTCCTGAGAATATATCAGATTGAACCATTAATGAATAAACTATTTAAAAACTAAAATGGATAGAGATTTTATCACATAGATTTCTGAATTGTTCATGGATTGTTCATGATACTTCAGATTATTTAGTATCGGAATTTAGTGACTGCCCTTGATTGAATAGAGTTAAAAAGGAGCTTATGAAAAATATCTTCTTTAATTTTAAAGTAGTCTAAATGAACCAACTAGAATATATTAAGCAAGACACGGCCATTGAATAAAATTGTAGTCAGGGCATTATCCCTTTCCTATGTCATAATATTTTCAATAAGGATTTTAAGATAAAGATGCCGAATCGATAGACAAAATCTATTCCAATGCAATACGACTATCTGAAGGCTATCAGGTTACAAAGACAACAGTATATTGCCCTGACAGATACTTTAGTATCCATTAAAATGGCAAACATTCTTATTTGACTAATAAAAGATATGAAATCAGAGTTGAACTTTTCTTTTTATAAATGTGTCAACTACTTTTTCTACTAGATTGAAATGAAGTAGAGGAGAACTCTTTAACTTAGGTCAACCACAGATAGGCAACGACCTGTTATTTTCATGTCAAAGACAGATATAAAAGGTTTCTATATTTTTTCTTTTTAAAAAGGGGATGAGATCAGGGGACGGGAAATGGAAAGAAACGATTGCGTCTCTCAAATGCTAAGAGTCAAAAAAATGGTGTAAAGGAAGAATGGGAGGATCAAAACATTTGGAAAGGTCGCCTTTGCAACAAGAGTGACCTCACTTTGAAATGAAAGTCACAAAATATCACAAAATAAAGTTTACTTTCTTTGTAAAGAAATTTAAAAATGTTTTGATGAGTTTCCTTGATGAATTTAACTTTTGATTTGTATGAACAAAATAGATAACACTTAAAGCAGCAGTTTGTAAGATGAACTAAAATAACATTGAATATGTCTTGTCTGAGCAGCAAACTATAATGAGAAATATGTATTGATAGCTGCAGTAAGGTTGGCAGGTTTTTAGTTCCCTAATTACCTACACACAGGCAGGTACTTCACACGAGAGAGAGAGAGAGAGAGAGAGAGAGAGAGAGAGAAAGAGAGAGAGAGAGAGAGAATTGAGAGAGAGAGAGAGAGAATTGAGAGAGAGAGAGAGAGAGAGAGAGAACAAACTGAAAAAAATATTTTCCTAAAAGAAATTTAATATAATAATCTAACCTGATCTAAATTCATTAAATTTAAAAGAAAAACTTGAAAAATTAACATTTCTTTTGATTAGAATTTGATTTGTACATGCAAACACCAAAAACAGAAAGACAAAACTTTTGTGTTTTTGTTTAAAAAAAAAAAAAAAGATATACAAGAAGGTAACACATAATTATAACAAATCATCTGTTAAATGTGCTTAGTCCACCAGATGATTAATACTTGTAAAAAAAGAATTATAAAAACATTTTTGGTAACTTAAAAATTTCCCTGAGTATCTGCTAGTATGGAAAAATAATAGAAATTAAAATTTTTTAAAATCTAGCGTCAAAATATAACTTAAAAGCCTCAAAACTAAAGATACAGTTACTTAACTTTATAGATGTTATCCTTTTTTTGGCTGTTGCTATAAATAAGAAAGAAATTGATTTGATCCATGAAGAATAGGAAGTAATTTCCACTTCTGCAGACTGAAGTAAAAACAAATAAATTGGTTCTGTGTGAGAAATGTTGTCAGTGAATCTTAATCTATGTTTTATGATTTACCTAAATTAATCTCAGATAACAAACAAGGGAGATAAGCAAAGGAAAAGAAGAGTAAAATTAGCCAACTGTGGTATTTATTAAAATTTACCAATTTTGACATTGTTGATTTGCTAGAGAACCTATATACACTGGAAGCCGCACACATATGATCAGATATGAGTAAAGATTTAGTTTGTTAGTATAATTCATTATCGATGCAACTATGATGCAATTTACAACAACCCGAGAACTGCTAATAGCTTCATGCAAATATCAAATGGAGACGTTAAGAGATTTATGTACAAAAAGTCACAAGAATAAGCAACAGTTTTCTTTTTCAGTTGTCTCAGTTTGCCTTGATTAAAGGCAAACCTCTTGTGAACAACGAGCAGCTAGAGACAGTAGAAGGAAGGGCAACACAGAAAGAAGCAATCATAAAAAAAAAAAAAAAAAAACTAAGAGTATCACAAACCACTTATTCACAGCAAATAGTAATTGTTTTTTAAACTTAGAAACAGTATTTTTAAAAGGATTATCAAAGTTTAAAAATGGAAATGTAAGAAAATTATCTTGGAATTTCCTGCTCTTCTAGCACTGAAATGATGTTTGAAGATGCCCTACAAGTGAAATCAGTACAGGGAAAGGCAGTTGTATAGGACTTCTTTTTTTTTCTTTTTTTTTTTTTAAAAAAAAGAAAAAAAAAGAAAAAAAAAAGAATCTTTGAAATGTTAACAGTCTGGCCACATATCACTGGGCTCAAAATGACTTTCTCAGAAAACTATAAAAATAGAGCAACAAGAATTTCAGTGATCGTACTTAGCAAAGAATTTTTTTTTTAAATTCCAAAGATTATTTCTAAGGTCAGAGGTGTATGAAAAAATTTTGGATTTATTTTTTAAGTAATTAGAATGTATTAGAAAGCAAAATATTAGTGGGAAAGGGGAGAGGAGGCAAAATATTAGTGGGAAAGGGGAGAGGAGGCAAAACGCTAGTGGGAAAGGGGAGAGGAGGCAAAACGCTAGTGGGAAAGGGGAGAGGAGGCAAAACGCTAGTGGGAAAGGGGAGAGGAGGCAAAACGCTAGTGGGAAAGGGGAGAGGAGGCAAAACGCTAGTGGGGGAGAGGAGGCAAAACGCTAGTGGGGAGGCAAAACGCTGAGGGAGAGGAGGCAAAACGAAAGGGGAGGCAAAACGCTAGTGGGGGAGAGGAGGCAAATATTAGTGGTAGAGGGGAGAGGAGGCAAAAATGTAGGCATCAAATAATAACCATTTTGGCATCCAACACCACCATTCCATTAGCACACAACAATTAACAACAGTTACCTTGATATACTTTCATTCATTAAAAATTAAAGACAAAAGCAGCAAAAGAAATATAGAGTAGGCAAGGAAGAGGATTCAGACTTGTTAGGATTAATTTTTATTAAGAAAGTGAAAACTTAGGAACGTTCGATATTTTATATAACATTAAAAAATATATATACTTTACTTGTCAAAAAAACCTTAGCCGAAACACAGTTTTTAATAAGCCGAGCATAAAGTCGGCAGCCCAGAGTTCAGTCAATATTCCTGTTGTCCACATGCCTAAATATCACAATAATAGCAGAAAGTTAAAACAGAAAGAACAGTTACAATCTTCATTTTCAAATGTCACAAAAATGATTGAATTGTGTCCAAAAAAGACTAGGCAATGACCAGATTGAAGTTTCTCAATCCAAAAGAAAACTGTAGACTTATGCAGTTATTTTTTGCAAATTACAACAACTGAAATAACAAATGAAAAAAAAAAAAGATCAAATCCTATTTGTCCTTTTCCCACCAATTAGCAGTTATAACTTGACATGATTGTAGCTAATGAGTGGACAATGCTTAGTGAGTATGATTTTCAGTAACTGAAAAGAAACTAGTAAAATTGAATATCTTCCTCTGTACATAAATAAAAAGCAAAAAATTGAGGAGCTTATATAATTGAAAGCAATAGAGTTGTGTCTATAATAAAAGGGACTTTGACATTTAGAAACTCTGAATGATGAAAGCAAACACAAACATAACAAATTTCCTATTATCTTTTAGTTTTTATGTGTTCCCTCTGATTATTTTGTTTTTGTTCTTTGTCTCTTCAAGTAATGACTATCGCATGTAGAGATGTTGGTGACACATATTGTACTAAAGGCAATCCTCGTAACAAGATTGCACACTATTACGTATGTTGTACTATTTCTAAGTAATGACAAATAACAGTTTTAATAATTGGCAGAAGGAAACACACGCACACAGACACATACAAAGGAAGGAAAAAATTTAAGATGTAAAAATCAAAGAAGAGTGCCAGAATCAAGTGTAGCGGCTCAAATTCTAAAACTGAAATGGTTTTGATGGAAGCAGAGACAAACATTAAGAAAAAAAATCAGGCAAAAGGCATTTAAAATATTAGGTACTTTTTCTAAATAGATAACCAATCAAGACAAAAATTTGTAATTTGAGGAATATACTGTGTGTATATGTGTGTGTGTATGTATATATGCCAGTTTTGAGATGAAGAAAAGTATTTTTCTACCAAGCATCAACAGCACCAAACTATAAAAAAAAATTGTTACTCAAATTTTTGTTGAGCAGTCTTGATGTGTTTGGAGGAAAACTGATCATACAGACAGGGGTTTGACAATGAAAATGGCTTATTCAACAACTCAAATCTATATATTTGTCTGTGTTTATAATTTAAAAAAAAGTCTCACATCAACATGAAAATAATTCCAGAAATAGACACTTAAAATACAGTTTTTAAAAATCAACTGCAATTTTTGTAATTTGGTAATTTAAAGAGGAAGGGGTACACTAAAATATCTGAAGATGTCGTTAATAAATTACAGTCAAGAGATAAGGAAGAATGTAATAAGCACAGAGAAGTAAACTGTTACATAAAAAAATAGTACCAAATGACTAGAGCAAATCACAGAGTTAAATCATTCATTTTACATCATCATCAGTTACTATTTCACAGAAAATTCAGTATATACTATTATATACTATAAAAGGAGGGAAAACAAAGAAAATGGTCTTGTAAAATTAAGATTTTACAAGTATTTTTATGCTTCCCTTAATTTTTAAATTAATTTTTTTTTATAAGCTTATAAAAGTCAAGACAACAATAGATGATTATTTTATGAGCTTGTAAGTAGCTAAAAAGTGCTACGCTCCCCTATGTTAGTCACCAAGAAGCTTTGTATTGGGGACAATAGTCTGCTTAGCCAATCTAGTGTGTATACAAGATTAGTCAACAAGCTACACACAAACATACACGCACACCAAATGTGCACATATGCATAATCAAAGACGTGCATTCTGATTGGAGCAAAGTGTACAATTAACACGGCTCAACAAATTTAAAGACAAAATTTGGCATCATCATCATCACTTCTACAACAAGTGTACATGGGTATAAAAGAGTGGGGGGGGCTCAAGAAACAAAGGAAAAAGCATTGAACCATTGCAAATAATGCGTTGGACCATGAGGCCACACACACACACACACACACAACTAGAGATAACAGCGCAGTCATTCTTAAGGCAGTTGTCTTTTGTTCTTTATGAATTCTTCTTCCTGATTACAAAAGTAAGTGGTATGGAATGATCGTTCATGTATCAACAACACAATTCTACAGACAGCACCTTTGGATACACTTGGAGCAGCTTGTTGAGAGAATTAAGCTCCCAACCTCAACCAAGCCCCTAAGCACTTTGTAATGTGGGGGAAAAAAAAAAAAAAAAAAAACCCTTCTTGCTGTATCTACAAACAAATTATCAATTTAGATTTATTTAATAAAAAAAAAAAAAAACTTTCCTCCAACAAAGAACAATACTGTATTTGGAATTATGACCACTTGATATTTTTTTTTTTTTTTTTTTTTTTTTACACACTCCCATGTGTTTTATGTTTTTTTTTCTATCTTTTTCTTGGAACAGCAAGAGTTTCTAGAACGTTCAGCCATGTTTGAGTGTTAAATATGAGAAAACTCAAAAATCTTTGGTCAGATTTTCATGGAAAGTGATGTAGAGTAAGAAGTTAAAGTTTTAATTAAAAACACATCCATATACACACACACACAAAAACCCATTGGTTTGCATAAACAACAGTCTACCACCTGATGTAGCAGCTTGTAACACACAGTAAAGTCAGTATTCACAGGGCCTCACACAAAGACATTGTCATTAAGAAAGGCAAGTAGACCATAAAAATAGGGTACAGTCCTTTTTTTTTTCTCTCCCCACTCCCTCCCTCCCTCCCCAACTTGGCTAGAACAACAGCTACCAAAAAGTAACAAATAAAGGAGTATCGAATTGTTATGATATACTTGCTGTAGGATTCTCAGCAACATTGGTAATAACAGTTAGCAATATTGGATATTGCGGCATCAGTAGCAGCAGCAGCAGCAGAACACCTGGTACAAAGGTAAAGAGTAACGTTGTTGCCATAAGAACTTGAATATTGACCTCCGTTGATCAAAAAATGATGTCCTTATATGGAATACAAGGATTCAAACATGCTTTGTTATAACAAAAGGAGTTAGTCTGGTAGAAATGGTTTTAAATCAAGGAAAGAGGAATAGGAAGAGAAGATCTTTCGGTGGAGCAGGGGAGGGGTTTAATCCATCACTGCTGTGGTACTCAAGTTTGGGGTGGGGAAGGAGGGAGAAGTGGTGGTGGTTATTGTTGTTGTTGTCATAAATGACATGGCAGAATGAAATGGTAACAGAAATAAGCTTCTTCCAAAAAGTAGACAAAACAAACTTTGAAAGTCTTATAGACAAAGGATTTGATTTCTTTTTTTCTTTGTATTTAAAGTAAATAGAAAAGAGGCAATCAATAAAATAAGCAAGGTTTTCAATATTTTAAAGTTTACTTTTTGGTGTAATGCTATATATAAGGGGAGGAAAAGAAAAATGGATCATTGGAACCTTTGATATTTTACTGAATTGTGAAGTTTATCTGAGAAAATATCAAGAAGTTTTGATAGTTTAGAGAGAGAGAGAGAGAGAATAGAAAATAGAAAACAATTAGCCGTGAAAACCTATTTAAGAACCAAGAAGAAATTTCTATATTCATAGAAAATTAAAAAAGAAAAGGGGAACAGGGTTAGAAAATCAGTTCTAAAACTGTTTATCGTAATTGACGACAAAAAAAACAAAAAAAAAAACAAACAACAGACTGGAGGGAGAAAAAATTCCCATGATAACTTTCTAATATTAAAAGAAAGAATAAAATATTTGTGTACTTTTGTGTAAAAATCACACGATTAAATTTTGATTGAGAAAAGAAAAAAAAAAAAAAAATTGTATTGGTCACCATGGTAATGAGAATAGTGAGAAAAGTTTGTCTATTAGTCCTCATTCATCAAGTCCAGTTAAATACATTAAAAGTGGGTGAGGTTTTCTTTGCAAAGATCTAGAAAGTTCCTCATACACAAACAAATGAAGGAGAAATAAAAAAAAAAATACAAAAGAAGAGGGTCACAGAATTTAAGATCAACCAATCATTTCTTCAAGCATTAATGAAAGTTAAAGACATTTTTCTTTGTTTTTTTTTTTTTCCTTTCAAAATATTAACTGAACTAAAGATACAGAGACATCTTTTGAGTTGAACCACTTCTCCACATATGATCCCAAAAATCCCTGACAGCAATGCAATCAACAAGAACTTCTCTTCATTCCTTTCTCTTCTGGTTCCAACAATACAACTCATCATTTTTATAACAAACTGGATAAATATGGAACAAATTAGCTTGCAGTATATATGGTGTTGGTCACTTATTATGACTTGTCGGCCGAGCTGGTGGCATTGCGGGCCGCTCGTTTATACTGCATGGACGATACGTTGTTCCGTTTGGCAAGAGTCTCAAAAATACACATGTGGTGCCTGTGCAGCGGAGGTTTACGGCGAGCGTATGGTGACTTTAGAGACCCCTTGTTATTATAGTTGTTAATAGAATGTCCTGACTTATAATGAGTCAGTGGATTCCGATGATAGCCATCAACCGAACGAGCATTGTAAGAAGAAGTTGTTGTGGTACTACTAGTTGGTGCGGCAGTCGTGCTGGTGCTAGTAGTGGTGGGAACTTGCTGGGGATGTCTATCGGTCCCATACAAAACTAGAACCCAGTCCAGCAAAACAGCAGGTTGAACTGTAAACAGAAAGAGGGACAAGACAAAAAAATAGAAGGGTTAGTGCTACATAGGAGTCAGCCCTGGGGTTGCCACACAACATACATACACACACACACACACCCAGCACAACATTATTGTATCAATAGCAGAATAGAAGTTCCTTTATTTTTTTTATTTTTCTTTCTTGGAGGACATATATGATGGCATTTTAGTTTTAAGTTTTCTTTAGAGATGAAAAACAATTCCATCGTGTAAAGAAACTTGGAAGCAATTAAATTTTCATTTATCAGGAGAAACAATTTTCTTAAATAAAAGATTCAAATTTAATATTTCACAGGAAGCATATTTACCATTGTTTATAACAGATCAAAGCAACTTGAGTTGGTATTGTCCAATCAATATTTAATGCCATAGATATGCTGTGCGGACAGCACCGTCTTTGTTTTATTAAATAAAAACAATAGTAATTGCAAGATATGAACAGTACTTGATCTATACTGAATATTCAAAATTGTGTGTGTGTGTGTGTGTGTGTGTGTGTGTGTGTGTGTGTGTGAGAGAAAGAGAGAAAGGTGGGCAAGAAAATACTAGCATAACAATGGATGTCATTAAGCCATCCTTATTGAGTCAATATTGTTGTGCTTTGATGACAAGCAAATGGTAAAGATGTGCCGATGTGAATAGAAGAAGCCAGCAATTCAGATAACAATAATGTCAACAAAATAGAAAGCTTTGATTGATTTTTAATGTGTTTGATTCTGCAATAAGAACAGCAATATTATCAGTATATAAAACTAACTTTCCAAGCATAGAGAACAGGTGAACAGGTCAGTTTTATTCCCAGAAACCATTGGGATCAACTGCCAATCTTCTTAATTAGTTTATCCATGCAGTTACTATTTAGTTTTTTTTCCATTGATGATCATATTAATTAATTACGTTAAAGTAAATAAGTTAAAATATAGATTTAGTAATCCAATCTTAAATCGTTTAAATAAGAAGGTAATTTGTCAACTATAAGATATTTATCTGCTGAAAAAATGAGTCAATTAACTCAGAGTTGAAATTTTTTCATTTTTGAATCAGATTTTAGGTTTTGCAAATGTTAGCTAATTGTCCTCTTGAAATCAGAGAACCTTCAGCCTAAAAAAAAAAAAAAAAATCAATTGAAACGTTCATTTTATTTGAATTGTATCTTTCTTCAACCTCAAAATCAGGATTTCAAAATCATAAAAGTTCTAATCTTTACTAAAAGAAAAACACATAGTGCTTACTCATTTTTATAGATTTAGTGATTGAAATTGAATCAAACAAATATTTTCCACAATTTCTAAAATTAATAATAATGGTTAAAATCGAAAATCTGTTTTGGTGGCTTCTCTTCAACACACACTGGGTTAAAAAGCGATTAACTGTGTACATAGTTGAGAGAAAATTTACATGTAATCAAATATTGAAAAAGGATGAATATTCAATAGTTTAAATAGAATTTACCTTAACATCAATAGGTCAGATTTTTTAAATAAAGATTTTAGAAAGTGAGAGGAGAAAAAAAAAAAAAAAAAACAAAAACAAAAAAAATAAACAAACAAATCCAAGGTGATGAATTGGAAAACAAGTTACATTTGAAGAACAGGAGTTTTAAAAAAGACAATTTTAAAACAAGGACATTTTAGCAAAGCACAAAACAAAGGAGAAAGGAGTATGGATGGAGGAAATTGTGTGTGTGAGTTAAAGAGAGAGAGAGAGAGAGAGAGAGAGAATCTTATGATCTCCAAAAGAGAGTGGAAAATAATGGAGTATCAGAAAAAGCCTTTAGAAAAGAAGACACTATGCTTCAAGCAAGAAAAAAAAAATTAAATAGCATATGAGAAAATGGTTTTAATAGGAAACAAAAAGCACATTCAAGAAAATAAAAAGTTGGCTTGGACATAGATTTTTGATAAATAAAGTTTGAATTTTAACAGAATATTAATCCAAACAATTTGTAGGTGACATGTTCAGAACAAAGAGAAGAAAGAAGGAAAGAAAGAATAAAATTCAATTCAAATTAAAAGAGAATGATGTCCTCAAAAGAGACAAGAGAGTAGAGATGAATAAATTGATTTTAGCTAATGAGTAAATAAGGAATTAACATGGAAGAAAAAACATGAAAAGAATTCAATCAAAGATCAGTTGAGGAAAATAAAAGATTGGCAAAATATTTCCAATTTAGCTAGAGAGGAACTTATCTAGACTGTAAAGCTAAATAGTACATGAAAATAGTTTGTTTTCTGTTTAACAAGCAAATGCATTAAGAGATTCCTTTCAAGATATGTGCAATGTAAAAGTGCAGATTTGCTATCAATAGTTGCAATTTATGGTGTTGAGAAGGCAGGTGAAAATTTACATCCAATTCCGAGATATGCACAATTAAGGATTAAAAAAAAAGCCAACTTAGAGAGAGAGAAGGCATCAAATTCAAAATTAATCAGTGAGGTTTTCACAGATTTCAAAATGAGAGAGAAAGAGAGAGAGAGAGAGAGAATAAAAAAAAGAGAAATGCACATTCAAAAAGTGAAATTGCTGAGAGAGAAAAAATCCAACTGTTGCTTAAATATAAGTTTAATGCAAAATTTTTTTGACGGTTGAAATGGATAATGTTCAATTTTAATTAAAAGATGCAAAGTTTCTCTCAAGAATATACTAATGGCAAAATGCAAGAGAATTTACAAAAACAGTGTGTACCCCATTTAAATCAATACAAGAAGACATGCAAGAGCATTGTAACCATGTGTAGGCGAATTTTTGTAATGTGATAACATGTTTGTATGGTTACATCTTGACACTTGGATAAGAAAAATAGTCTTTCATTTTATTGGTATTTTTCAAATGCATGAGACTAGTACTAATTTCATGTGGACATTTCAAGAGCACACGTTTAGTCTATTTTATATTGTCACTGGAATGTAACAACTTCATTTAGGTTCTAAAATTATTTAGAAATCGATTTTAATGTTTTACTTTGAGAAATATTTTATGAAATTTTCGATCACTGTGGTTAGTGATTTAAAAAAAAATGATTCATTTCCTATCAATCTGGATGAATGCTTGTATTTTTTTTTTTTTTTAATTAAGTCATCATGAGTAAGGAGATCATTAAAAATACTTGGTAACTACGGTTTTATATTTTTACGCACACACATGTGCAATAGTTGTCTTTCACAATTTTACAAGAGCAGATAATACCATGAAATTTGCAAGAATAAATAAACAATTTGAAAATCTGATAAAGTTCAATAAGACTTAAAAAATAAATTTGGCTGTGACTAAGTTCTAAACAATTAAAATGATCAAGAAAGATTTACTCATTATGTTTGTGTATGGGTGTCTATGTGAGAGCTCTACAACCCCCTCTCCCCTGATTGACAGTTTTGAAACTGTCAACTCTCCCTCTCAGGTACCGGTGGGGTGAGAGTGATGAAAGGAAAGATTGTTAAAGATTGAAGTTGAAAGAAAGAAACAATAACAATAACTGTAAGTAGAATATGTTAATAAAATCAGCTGCTGGAGGAAGAAAGGAAGCAGCACTGAGTGGTGGTGGTGGTGGTGGTGGCAGCGGCAGCACTATGTATGCAACTGAAGCAGTGAAAAGAAAAAATGCAAATAAAAAAAAAAAAAAAAAAAAAAATGAAAAAAAGAAGGAAGTCGCAGTCAATGCTGCTAGCATTCACAGCATGCACAAGGGGTGGACACAAACAAGCAGGAAGACACTTTTGGAATCTAGCAAATAATGGGGTGGGGAAAGGGTGGGGGAAAAAATATAATGGGTGTACCAATGTACACAAGAAAGAGAAAATGATGAAAAGTTTCTTTTCAGGGATTTTTTTCATTTTTTTTTGGCTCCCAGAATCCTACAAATCATTCTAAGAAGAAATGAGAAAGGCTGACACTTCACTAAGTTGTAGTTGATAACCGGACAGAAGACAAAGGCTTCACAGAAGATAACAATGTAGCACCCAGCACTATAACCAAGTCCGGGGGGGGGGGGATACATTATAGAACGTGTGTACATATGCATATGTGTAAGAGTATCAATCAGTGTCTCTAACCAGGGTTTCACCATAAATGAATAAATTGCTAATAAACTAGGAAATGTTTTCTTCCTTTTCCATTCACAGTCTGAATGAGAAAAAGTAGATCTAATTGTAGATCATAAAAAAAAATAAAAATAAAACAAGAGTTGAAAGTTCAGCAAACAAAAAAGTAACAGGTATTGTGTAGAAGTGATGATTTTGTGCATACAATTTTAAAAAGAACATACGCAATTGTGTGAACAAATCAAAAATGCTCCAGAGATTGAAATCTGATTAGTTTGTATTTGACAACAAACTAAAGATTTATGATTTGGACATTAAACAGATGTGTTCAGAACACGATAATGTTCCTTTTTTTTTTTTTTTTTTTTTTTTACGCAGATGTTAAGAACTTGATAATGTTCCTTTTTTTTTTTTTTTTGGATCTATTTTGAATAAAAAGAAATTTCATTTATATAATATTGATATCAAATTTCCTTGCACACTTACAAACACACAAAACAATTTTCTTTTTCTCTATTGATTTGATCTTTACTCTTTAAAAAAGTGGTAATCATTTATTTGTTAAATTTAATCAAAGGGGAAGAAAAAAGTAAGCTTTCAGTAAAATAAATAAATAAAAAAAAAAAATCAATCAATACTAATTGATCAGTTCATAAAGATAGACAATCCAAACAACAGATTTAATTCTCTGCATCTTTCAAGAGATGATAAAATTAAAAAAAAAAAAAAAAAAACTTTTGCTATTTTACTAAGTTTGAAATTATCCTTTTGATGATTAAGCTTTGAAAGTGAAGAACTTATAGATTTGAAAAACCGATTGGGGATTGCAGTTCTATACAAATGAAAACAAAATCACAATCGTTTGTTTGATAATTAATTCTAATAAACGTAATCCCTATGAAATAAATTCATTTTGACTAAATTTTAGAATTCAAGTAGCATTAATGTTGTACTACTTGTACTACTAAATCAGACTGTTACTAAAAGATATACATGTAAATAAAAGATAAGTATACGACCAGAACAATATATAACAAACAACGTCACTGTTTGTTATAGTTCGCAGCGCATTTCAAGATCATAAAAATTATATCAAACATGTTGAAAGCTTTCTTTCATCAAAGCTGCTATAGAACATTTGGGAGTTGTAAGTTGCAAAGCTCCATTTAGTCAGACTAGCTACAAAACAGCACAAATGCTGGTAAATGCCTGAAAATAAGATATTCTTTTTTGCATTGCTTTATCAATTTCAACTATTTTGTAAAAAAGAAAAAAAAAAAAGAAAAAAAAAAAAAAAAAAAAAAAAAACAAACCAAACCATGAAATCATTATTTCGCAAAATGTCATTTTTTTAAATAAAAAAAAAAAAAAAAAAAAAAATCAAATATCAACTGTGATTAGTTGGAAAAGAAATAGTTTGCTTCACTAAGTGGGGCTATATAAGACTCCCTGCAACTCAATCTTGAAAAGACAAGAAATTGAATTCACTCATCGCAATAATTTTACTAGTCTGAATTATCCTCATTTGACTTCATCTCTAATCTTCCAGAAGAGATAAAAAATTATTCATCTTTCATGATATCACTGGAAGTGAATATTATTTCTAGCTTCAATTATATATAACTGATATTAATTTTCCAAAGCTGTTCATTGAGATAAATTGTCTTGTAATTTCCTATACAATCTTTATACCTTATATAATATGCCTAATATAATAAGATTATAAGATAATGATCTTCACTGTATATGATTTATATCATAAAAGCTAATGTGATTGCTACAAAGAACACAGCTTTCTGTTAGAGTTGAAACTTAATAACATTTGGATGAAAAGTTATGAGCCTACTCGATAAAGTATGAAAAAAGTGCCTGCGTATAAACATCTAAATACAACAGAGAAATAACTAATGTTTTTAGAAAATACTTCTTTTGAAAAGTATTTCAAACATTTTCATTGGATTTAAAAATGGACATTAATAGCTTCTGTCAATATCAATAAAACTCAGTTGTTATACATGAAAAATATATATATGTATATTTTTTTTTAGTAATTTATAAAAAGGGTAAAATAAGTATGTTCAGCAGAGGTAAGCAATATCTAATTAAACTTTCAGCAAATTAACATCTCCAACACAAATAAATTTCCTCCATTCCCAAGATAAAAAAAAAGTCAAAAGAGGAGTGGGTGGGGACCACATAGTGACTAAGATGAAAAAAAAACAAAAAAAAAAAACAACTGCATTGAGAACAGATTGCAATTTTGAATTTTTCTTTATTTTGAAATATTATCCAACAAAGTGTAAAAAAAAAAAAATTATATATATATATATATATATATATATATATATATGAATATTTTTTTTTAATTAGAGGTACAGAAAATTCTTAGAAACTAGCTCTTAATTTTTTAAAGTGACATTTTTCTTTTTTGTAGATATAAAAACTTAATTACAAAATTTCTTTACAATTATATATCTTTAAAAAAAAAAAAAATCACAGTTTGTAATTATCAATTTTAGAAGTATATAATTTGGAATGTCAAAAGTAAAAAAAAAAATAAAAAAAATAAATAACCAACTCACAAAGCTTTGTAGATTTTAATGATTTGATGTCTTATTTGCTAAAACACAAAATGGGAAGATGATTGCTATCTTGTGATATAAGTAAATTTCAACAAGGCAAAAAGCCAATAATAGAAAATCATAAGAAAATCCATTAAAATGTATAAAAAAATATTTACCTACAAATCAGAAAAACATACAAACTTATTACACCCAAGGTACAAAAAAAATATACATTAGTCATTGTAGTAGTAGTAAGGATGTAGCTTAAATAAGGTGGCTATAAACTGTAATTAATTAGACAAACATTTTGTTTATAGCTACCTTGTTCAAACTTTTTTTCAATAAATTCATTTTGTTGATAGATTATATGAAAAGTAATTTAAAAAGAGAATTGACAACTATAAAAACTATTCATAGTTTAGTTGAAATCAGAAGAATTTCGACAAGGTATTGTAAAAAAATAAATTCAAAGACACTTTTTTGTGAGGAAAGTATCAAAAACAATTATTAAAGAAAAAAAAGGTATCTAATCTTAACTTAATTTTTGCAAAATGAGTATTCCACTGTAGTGCTTCCCAAAAGAAAAATCATTGTGCTAATTTTTTTTTTGAGGGTTGACATGATCAAAATGGCATTGGTTTAGAATTTGGGAGCAAGAAAAATGAATGAGGTTAGATTAAAATTATATTAAAACACATAACATTCCTCAACAATGCCAAACTCACTTTGGAGTTTCATTTTTAAAATTATGTTGTTTATATTTTGGAAAAGAAGCTATCTTTAACTTGGAATAAATTTTATGACATTGCTTTTAAGAAAAATCATTATTTGAGAGAAAGAGAGAGAAGTCAGGTCATTTAAAGATATAAACTAAATACAAGCTTTTCAAGTAAAATGAGCTTGTCG